TGCTGACTGCTGAACCCAGCTGTTATTCCTAGGCACATGCTTTTGAGTTTCAGCATTCAAGAGAGAACTGGTATGCCCTCAGATGGCACCTAACTGGCAGAGGAGAATGGGCTCTGTTGCGTCATTTTCCCTCTTCCTCTAGATAACTGTTTTTTTGACTCTGGCCATGCATACGCAGGGGCTTTTGCCTTTGGAGAGAGGGCTACATGAGGGCAGGGATGATACCATACTGATCTGTATGCTCTCAACCCTGTGCAAGCAAAGGGCAAGGACTCATATGGTATGCATTTGTTATAGGAATGAATGGTCCCATTTTTATGCTTGATCCATCATAAAACTGCAATTAAACTCTTTGGGGCACTCTATTTCCCAGTTTCATTTTAAAAATCTAATTATCTATGCCATACAGAATTTTTATTAGAAAGTGAAGTCATTAAAGAAGCAGACACCAGGCTCAGGCCCTGAGATAATTGCAAATAGAAACGCATCTGTCTACAGTGCTCAGCTGGACCTGGTAAGCACTGGAAATGTGGTCCCTGTCTTCAGCACTTGGGGCAGCTGGGGGCAGCAGGGGTCCTAAGGAAATGCTGGCTTCTATCTCACCTAGGGAAGGCTAGATAGCAATTCCCAAACTACTTCTCACTCTTCTCTTCCTAGACATGAGCTGTACCAGCAGACTACATCCACATCACCTTCGCCTTTGAAAAGCTCCCTGTCTCCATGCTTGCCATCAACTACTCGAACTCTGTTGGATAATCTGTCCCTAGATCTACATTCCAGGGAAACACTTGTAAGGTTTTCCATTCATATATCTGGTGATAAAATCCTGGCCTGCCCAATGATTTGGGCTATTTTAATAACAAACTGACGATCCATTCTTGTGCGAACAAAACTACTTTGAATTCCATCAACCTTTCTTTTTTAACTAAGACATGTCCACCTCCTCTTCCGTTCACCATGTGTAGAAAGCAGCCCGCAGCCAGCAGCAGAAAGCCTCGTTAATGCTGCACTGAGAGCGAAACCCTAATAAACTCTCTAAATATTTACTATGAGTCTGAGTTAGGGCACAGACAAGTTCCACCCGCACTAAAATCCACTCACAGTCTCCAAACACACTTATTTTAGGTCACTGACATGCCAGCCAAGAAAATGACAAAATTGTATGCCATGGCACCAAGAGTAAGCGGAACTTAGTTTTAAATTCTGGCCCTGCCTCTTACTAGCTGACAACACCATGCAAGCGATTCTGCCTCCCTGCCCCCATTTCTTTAACTGCAGAATAAAGACAATCAAATACATAAACATATTCTCCCTTTAAAAAACAAATAAGGGGGAAGCTAGAGAGGTCCAGGATTTTTTTTTTTTGCAAATATTTATTTTAAAGGATTCTCATAGATAAAAACGCATTCCTGCAACTCTGGAAGTTTGTTCGCCTTTCAAAAACTGTTAGAGACTGGCACTTGCCCTGGTGGTGGAGGACATGGCTTATCTGGGGACATACAACTCGATTAACTGGCAATGCCAGGAGTCTGAGGGTGGGCAATCGTTAACTTTCTAGATAATGAATAGATAGATGTCCAAGGGCCTGAACCCATCCAGACAGCCACCTCCTGGGATTTTCAGAGGTCCCAGAGGCCTAGTAATGAGAGAACTCCTTTCTAATCAATACAACTACATAACAGCTAGTTTATTGTTAGATTGGCACCACGCCAGGCCCTGTAAACACAAAAGACCACTGGATCCCAAAGAAGGCAAGTGTTAGTATTGGAGTTTAACTGTCACAGGAATGGCGGCTCGGTGAGGTCAGGTAGGCTTGTAGGATTCCACAGCCAGAGCATACCAGAAGGGAGCGTCAACTCACGTCTGACTGCCAACATCCTCCCTATTTCTGACCACCCTAAGACCTAATCTTGGAATTCTTGTGACACCACAGCCAGGATATTTGTTTTTAACTAAGATGAAGTAGGAACCACAGGCGACTATGAACAAGACAAAAGTCCCGGAGGTATGCAGGGCAGGCTTTTAGATGTGTGCTCACCAGAACTAAAGGAGGTGCTCTCTTCGACAATAATCCCATTCTGTGAAGGCTAAGTGAGGGCTTCCCAGGAGAACAGAAGCTGCTCTTCAGCCACAAAGCCCAGACTGCCTGAGTCAACCCTAAGGAATTACCTGACCAAGAGCAATCTCTAGATCCCACATCACCTGTCCCCTTTGTCAAATCGTTCCTCCTACTGCATGACAAGACTCTATCCTGAGGTCTCCCTCTTCTACTGACCACATTGTTTACAAATGGGAGTAGTGGCTCCAAGACACCTGCACTGTATTTGGCATATAAACATAAGGTGGAGAAATGAAGACGTGCATTCCATGAACATGCCACAAAATAACTTGGGAAAATGCCACTAGCCTTGAGAGATTATGACTTAAAATCCTAAATTTTTCAACCTGCCAATAGTGGCTCAAGGCATCTCTATAATCTGAGATCTCCCGACATAAACTAGGGAAGTAAAGGCCTTCCAACCAATCAAAACGTACCTGATAGGCTAATCCATGCCATCATGAAAGAAGAAGCAATATCAAGCAGGGAAGATAAAGATGCTGTCAAGTCCACTTTAAAGACTGAATGAGGTCCGTGTGAGTGAACGGACTTCCTCTGGCTCAACGGCCAACAGCAGCCAGGCAGGCCATTCATGCCCTTGTCTTCCCATGCTGCCCTAACACAACAAGCCCAGAGCATTGCCATAGAAAAGGGGAGACAGAGAAAATGCAAGGAAGAGAAAAGGAACCAGGAGTGTCACTGACAGGAGACAGTGGGTGATACTCTGGCCCCGGGTGGGTTAGCTCTCTGGGAACTCCTCACTCGGGGCTGGCTCTGTGTCCTTGGCTCATCCGGTTGCATCTAGGCTCTGGGAACACAAGCAAATTGAATTCTTCTCAATGCTGAGTAAAAACAGGAAGTCACAAGTGGCTTCACTCTGCTGTCAACTTGCGTCTCCAGCACTTAGGGTTCAGGATGCACAAAGGGCATGGAAGGCAGCTTGAGTCCCCAGGGGGTGTAGTGGCTCAAGCAGGGTTAAGGGACTGGAACCCTTTCTAATTAACTTCCTGATGCACAGAAGTCCTCCAGGAGACAGAGCAGGGGGTACGACAGAAAGGGAGGTAGGAGACCCATATGTCAGCTCCATAACATCTCTTCATTCATCAGCCCTGAGGGCTGACTGTGTGCTCCCAGCACCAGGAGCCCATGGGAAACAACTTGCTCTGGGCTTTGTTTCTACATCTGCAAAGGGGGGGTGGGGGCTCTCCCTCCCCTAGAACACTATCCTAACATGAATGGTACCCCCAGTGAGCTACCACAAGTGTTTGGCATCCCCAGGAGTGTGCTACCAACTATGTATCCGACCTGGGATGCTACTGTCTCCTCGCCAGAGCTGAGAGCCAGAAGGAGCATGGTAGTTCCATCCCATTCTTCCCCATTCAGTCTTCTCTCCTTACAGGAGCTTGGGGCCTGCAGGAGGTAAAGTTCTGCCAGCCCCCAGCCTGGGCCCAGTGCCCATGTTTATGACTGTTTATTTCAGAGCAAGTAGAAAGAAGAAATTAGAGCCATAAAAGACAGGACAACAGACCAATAAAAACCAGCTCCCAGAAGAGTCAGGGGGAGGAAGAGGCAAAAGTGTCACCATAGCAACACAAGACAGTCAGAAACAGGCAGGGAAAACAGCCCCTGTTCTGCCTCCTCTCTTGACAAGAAACCCTCAAACCCTCTAGGAGCTACGTGAAATTCAGTCCAACTGCGAACAACCCAAACAGGCTGGTCTTCTCAAGTAGAGGCCTGGCCAGGCGACACCCTCCTCTTGCTGCCCAGCATGGGTCCTAGCCCTGCATGGTCCCAGCCCAGCTTTCCATGCCCCAGGGACTCAACACTGTGCAGATGGCCTGGGCCAATCCAGAGGAGGTGGTGACTGCTGCCCATAGGGAAAGTTTCTAATCGGGAAACCACTGGGCTTGTGGGAGCCTGTGCCTGTAACTGGGGTTCTCTACGGAGCAGGCAGGGAATCACCCACAGAGGAGAAGAAATCTGCCCAGAACCCAGAATGGTGGCCCTAACAACACTGGACCCTTCCTTTCCAAGGATGGCTGACAGAATTCTGCGATCTTTACAGGGAAGGGGGTTGGAGCTTTAGCAGATTTCAATGGCAAAGGCCCTGGATCTTGTCTCTGAGGCCAGAGGCCAGAAAGTTTAGCAGCTTAGAGAAGGGCTCAGGATGGGCTGGTACATTTTGACAGGAGGTGTTCCTGTCAGTCCCTCAGCTGGCAAAAAAGATAGGTGTGTCTACCAAAAAGCACGGCTGGCCTGAGACCAGCGCCTTGGGAAGTGGGTCAAATTGTTCCCAAAGCTCCAGCTTGGAAAAGTCTCCTCCTGTTGGACTCCAGGTAGGAGTTCTGGTGTGAGGAGGAGTGAATGCAGCGGAGGCGAGGTCCTGGGCACAGCAGTTTGTGTGCTGGCTAAGCACTTGTGTGGCAGGTGGCAGCAGAAGGGGCCAGGTATACATGGGCTCGGGGCGGGCTTCATCCACGCCTTGGGTCTGCAAAAAGATGGGGAGCAGGGGCCCTCGCAAGGGAACCCCAAGGGGGTAAGATTGGAATCTCCTGAAGAATAGCTCTGGGGGATGAAGGTTCTTGGGGGTGGGAGTGGTTGGGGGGTGAAGGGAGTCGTCAGGAAAAGGAATAAAATCGGGAGAGAGTCCCGGCGATCGCGAGCAACGGACCCACAGACCTTTGGCTCGGGAATCAAGATGAAGGGTTCAAGACCGAGTCTGAGCTGCCTGCCTCCCTTGCCCAGGGCTGTAGGGCATTCCGAGCTAGGCGAAGAGGGCCATGGTCGCCCCGCTCCACCATGCCCCAAGCCCGGGAGGCCCCTGCGCCCCCACAGTGCCTTTCCCGGCGGGTCCCCACTCGCGCTCCCTGCCGCGCCCCAGCCGCGTCCGCCCCACGCTCACCGGAGTCGCCGCCTCCGCTGCCGCCTCCGCTGTCGCCGCTGTCCCCACGGCCGCCGCAGCGTTGCTCGCCCTCGGCCGCTCCGCTCGCTCCGCAGCTGTGGAAGCCTCTCCCGCGGCAGCCGCAGCCCGAGAGTCTGCTTCCAGCCCCGCCCCGCCCTGCCCCGCCCCCGCTCCGCCCCCGCCCCGCCCATCCCTGGCCCGAGAATCCCACCCCGCTGTCACCAGGCAGGCGGATTCCCTACTAGGCAGGCTAAGCACTAACTAGGAGTTGAACTCAGGAGCTAGCATTGTCCCTAGGCTCATAGTAACCCTGCCGTCCCCTCGGCCTGGGCCACTTCACTTGCCTTGTTACTCACTAGAAAGCTTGAATTCCTCCATACCCACCTTTCCACTTCAAACAAAAAGATTCCCCAAAGACACGATCCCCACAAGTTACAGACATACACTCACACTGAAACTAGTGCCCACGCCAGACCCCAAAGCTCTAGTCCCCGCTCTCAAATCACTTTGGATTATGAACCTGGCGTTACCTTCCACTTCCCCATCTATCCTAGTGACACGGACCCAGCCTCAAGGGCCGCTGTTATTGGATGGGATCTCCTAAAATGTCTTCCCAAATGCTTGGCCTTTGAGATGCAACAGTCTTCTAAACAGTCAGTCTAAAATTCTCTGGGCGAAAGGAGAAAGTAGCTTAAACTATTATGCTATATTAATAATTATGGGATTATTGTTTCAAAACCAACGGAGGCTCTGTGCAGTAAGGAGAGGGAACTTCCGGAAGCCCAGAGGACAGAGCCATGCTGAACAGGTTGTGAGTCAGAGCCCCTGTTGGTAGTGTCTGTGCCTTGCAGATCCCCCCCCCCTGCTCTTTTCAGTCAACCAGGGAAGACCGTTCTAAAATTCATGAAATATTAAACCTTCACAGTGTGTCAGGCTCTGTGCTGTCCGCCATAGCTTCTTCAGATAGTGGGTTTGTGGGCTGTGGACAGGAGAAAAAGCCTGGGGCCCACCAAGCAGCTTCAGGGAGAGTGTCCTCAGGCACTGTCATCTTCCTGAGGCCAGTATGAGTCCCCAAGAAGAAATTTGCTCTGCCTAAGTCTCCCTGAGGCTCTGACAGCAAGTGTCTCTGACAGACTCCAGGGACTGCTTCTTAGAGTTTAGGGGTCAGTTTTGGCAAGAATTCAGACAGGGTCTGGGCAGGCACAGTCTAGCTAGAATAATAGACTCTCTCAGTTGGAAATGGTCCTTGGGTTACCAGTCTCCCAACGTCCCCTGTCCTACACTAACCTCTATTGTTAATCCAACAATTTATTTTGGTATGGTTCTATTAGATATATTTTCCTAGCTATGACCTTAGCCTTGGCTTGTTTCTCCCAGACACGTACATGCACGCATATACACATGCACATACACAAACACACACACGCACGTACACACACACACACACGCGCGCGCACGCACGTACACACACACACACACACACACACACACACACACACACCCCTCTATCCCAGCTTCTTTTTTCTTTTACTTATTCTACCTTCAACTTTGGCCAGCTGTCATAGGGAAGGTCATGAATGAATCAGACCCAGCTGTCACTCATACCCGGAGCACTAGAATTTTCTAAGCTGAGTAGACTTTTTAGTTTACACCCTCTGTCTCTAGTAGTGCATCTCATGTTGGTGAGCAGAGATGACTGGATGTTTGAGATTTCACTTCAGCGTGTTTGGTGGTGGTTTCTGTCTCGGTCACTGAGGGGTACCTGTGTAAGTATTGCTGAGCCCATTATGAAATAATAGGGTTTTCTAATTATTGGTATGGAATTTAATAATTAAGTGTTTCCTAAGACACAATAATCAGATGAAATAGTCTTTCAACTTTATCAGTAACACTAATGACAAGTTCAGAAGTTATCATAATAAAGATTACAGTGAAATTAAACTGTCAATTAGGGGCAGGTAAGTTCAGATTGTATTCCCGATGGTATTCATTTACAGCGCATGCTTGTTTACGTGAACCTTACTATCTCAATTCAATTAACTTCAAGGACATCCTCTTTGGGTGGTGAAGTTTTGTTTTGCTGGACCACACCAACCGAATGCTAGGAACTTTACCAAAAGATGGAATGAGAACTTGTCACAGGCCTTGGATGACATAGAAAAGCTGCCAGCCCAGGCCAGGACGAGTCAGAACAGGAAAGAGGTTAGAATGAAGATGTTGCCCATCTAGACCCAGAATAGAAGGGATTTATCGTGGGAGAAGAAACTTCTGGGGAGTCTTGCTAAAAGGAGATGACCTAGCTTTCAACAGGCAGCGAATAGGCCAAGAACAGTTCACACAGAGGAACAAGGTAGATGCCACAGGACAGTGCGCTATGCAAACGGAAGCCAAGTGGAGACCCAGAAGGGCGAACTGAGGAGAGTTCCCCACCTCCATGCCTTAGTAGAGAAACTAATGATTCCTTAAGGGTCCTTGGGACAAGCAGTGTAAACTTAAAATAGGCTAATCTGTCATTTGAATTGTTTTCTACAAGGTGGGATTTAGGAAGCCCCCTTTTTAGGAGGCTGATATGTGGGCATATATCAATTGCTTTGGAACTATGAAAGAAAAGCTTTTTTATTTTTATTTATTTTATTTTCATTAATTAATTAATAATTACTTTTTTTTGAGGCAGGGTTTCACTGTGTAGCCAGGCTGGCTTTGAACCTACAGAGAGAGTTCTGGACTGCTCCTGCTTCCTGAGTGCTGGAATCCAAGGCACCACCACTACCAGGCTAAGAGAAACTTTTTTAGAATGGCGTCCTCTTGTGTGCTCTGAATTGTACTGGATGTCAAGTGAGTTCTAGGTTCGGACTTACTGGTAGGCAGGGTCTTCCATAGGTGGAGACTCAAGAACTCCGTGTCCTTTCCCCAGGGTGCTCTCTCTTCTCTGTCCTATATGCTACAAGCTAACAGCACTTTTGCTGTCCCAGATCATTGCTGTCACTAGGCAGTCGTACTTTCCCCTCTGACATTACTCTAGTGACCTCCAGGACAGCTGAGTTGTCTTGCCAATGGCTGGCTAGGGTCCCTTTGTGTAACTAGGGGTTTCTACGGAAACATGGGCCAGGCTTCAGCGGGAGCATAATAGATTTGATTATGCATCTTGAGCCAATTTTCACAGCTGACATCCTCCATATTTCCCTAATACAAAAACTATAGCTTAAAGTATGCAAAGAAACTGTAGTGGCTAAAAGCCCCTGCCTGTACCTTAGCTTACTGACATGTCACTCTTTCAGCCGCTCCATTGGTCAGGTCTTTCATATCCCTGTTTCTTTACACACAGCTCTCCCATCCTTGAATGACCTGCCATCCAGGATCATCTATTGACATTCTGCTCATATGTTTAAAGACTGTGTTCAAAAGCGACCCCTCTGTAATGACTTTTTCCATAATGTTGCCCTCATACCCTCATAGTCACCCCCATTTAGCTGTGCTTGGGGCACCAGTTGATCAAACTGTCATTTCTCCCTATTCACAATAACCGTGTTCTATCAAGTCACCACATTTGAGCTTGTGGCCCAAACTGTACCATAGCGTCTAGGGGAGACATGGGATTAGGTGCCTATAAGCCTCTAGTTGTTTCATTCACACATCAGCAAACAGTCGTGGTTTCTATTTAGAGACATCCCATTTAATCTGTATTGTTGGTTCACTGACATTGACTCCATCGCCAACAGTACTGTCCCCTGTAACTGTGCAGAGCAGACCTAATGTGCATGTTTTCACTTTACTGAGCATCATTGCCCCCTTGTGTTGAGGACCCATTGTACAGAATGAGGCTTTGTGTTTCAGGACCACTTTAGACACTGAAACTGTCAATAGAAGCATAGAATGAGTTCAGTGCAGTAAGGAATAACCCACAAGATGGACACAATATGAGAGCTGAAAAGACAATGTCCATGATCTCAGTCACTGGGAACGTGTACTGATATTAGGATAACAAGGTTTTTTTTTGGTTGAGGCAAGACAGTAAAAAAAAAATGTCTCAAAAATATTGAGCATATTAGTTTTGGTGTTAAAAAAATCATACTTTAATATATATTATTCGTCTTATGTGTATCATGTGTGTGCAGTGCCCACAGGGGCCAGAAGAGGGCAATGAGTACCTGGAGGTGGCATTAGAGACAATTATAAGCTGCTCATGTGGGTGCTGGAATCAAATCCAGGTCCTTTGTAACAATATCAAGTGCTTTAAACCGTTGAGCCATCTCTCCAGTCTCTAAAAATAAGTTTTAACAAGGAAACAAATTCACAGTTATGAAGTTCATAAACAATGAGCATCCTAAACATGACTCTCAATTAGATCATGACCTTAGGAGGCCAAGGTTTATGTTTTATCAGTATTTATAACTTCCAAGCACCCCTGAAAACATCCAATAAAAGTTAACGCTCAGTGAAGCTAGTTAAAAGAGTGGACCATTCAAAGCAGTCTATTTTTTTTTAGATATTTGTTAAAATTGAAGACATCTATTAATGAAGTTGGGAAAATATGTCTGACTGTTTCAGAGGAATAGAAGACTCAGTTTGGTTCTTATCAATTATTTGACAAGAGCCCTGAACTCTGAATATAAGGAGCTCTGGAGTAAACACTTCATCTGTCACAGCCAGTCATGCAGATATAGACATCATCTATCTACCCACTCATCCATCCATCCATCCATCCATCCATCTCTCACAAGGAAAGGGGGGTCTGCTTGTGCCTCTGAGCTGCTTGTAAGACTGCTGGTTTGTCTTGGCCGACCAGCTAGCTAAGCCCCAAAATAATCATATAGAAACTGTATTCATTAAAACACTGCTTGGCCCATTGACTCTATTTTCTTATTGGCTAATTCTTATATCTTAATTTAACGCATTTCTATTAATCTGTGTAATGCTGTGGCTTACTGGCAAGATTCTAACCAGCGTCCGTCTCAGGCAGAGGATCCATGGTATCTCTCCCTCACTCTGTTTTCTTCCTTCCAGAATTCAGTTCTGTCTTCTCTGCCTACCTAAGTTCTGCCCCATCAAAAGGTCAAGACAGTTTCTTTATTCATTAATCAATGAAAGCAACACATAAACAGAATGACCTCCTACACCATCCATCCTTCTA